TTTCATGAAAGGAAGAGTCAATCAGGGTGGCCAACTTCATTGTTGCCTTATTTTAAGAAATTGCCCCAGCTACCCCAGCCTTCAGCAGCCACCAGCCTGATCAGGCAACAACTGTCAGCTTCAGGCAAGGCCTCCACCAGCAAAATGATGATGACTTGCTGCAGATGAAGGCTCATAGATGATCCTTATTTTTTAGGAATAAAGTATTTTTTAATTAAGTTATATATATATATCTTTTTAGACAATGCTATTGCACACTTAATAGACTACAGTATAGCATAAACATATGCACTGGGAAACGAAATGGTGCAGTATTCAGTTTGTTGTGGTACTCTGGAACTGACCCTGAAATATCTCAGGTCTCCCTGTTCTGGGGATGTTGGAGGACTTGGGGAGTAGCTGCAGCTTGAAGTCGCACCAGTAGGCTGGGCTGGCACGTCTGAGCACAGTTTTGCTTAACTGCTATAAACAGCAACCTAATGAGAGGCTGCATGCTTGCCCTACACGTTTTAGAAAAGCGTCACTTGAGGCTCATAGTAAATTACATCCCTACGAACTTCTACAGAGTCAACACTTCTGCTTCTTAGTAAGGTACATAGATTCCAGCAGGCCAGTGTTCCCTCTGACAACTACTAGAAAAAAACAGATAAATACAATTTAAAGGCATCATAGTGCCACAGAAATGACAAAGACTAGAGGGACTAAAATTCCAGAGAGGTGAGGACCTCTCGGAGATGACAGTTGGCCGCTCTTCTCTCTCTCGGGAGCATTTGCCGATTCCAGGTGCAGGCTGCAGGGTGGGGCTCGGCCCCAGAGGAGGGATGCTGCCGGGGGAAAGGGAGACCAGCAAAGAATTAGCAGTGGTGCAGGGCTAGGGTGACAAAACTGGACACTTGAGGAGCTGCAAAGCCACGGCTGGCCTTCCCCACGAGACATTTGCCGAATTCCAGGTCTGTGCCAGAGTGTGAAGAGTGGGGCTGCATGTTTCTGAGAGGCAGAGTGCAATTTTCCTCAAGCTTACAGTGCATAGAAAGAAAGGACCTGCCAAGGAATTAAAAAAAAAATTCAGACACGAAAGCCCCAGGGAGTGGGGAATTGACCCTGAAGACCCGAGCACTTCCTGTTTCTAGGAGCAGCGAGAGGCCGCTCCCTGGGAAGGGCTAATGCTGGCAGAGAGAGAAACCAGCAGAGACTTTGGTATCTACGTGTAGCTTGAGTGACAAAATGGGAGACTTAAGTGGATCCCAACACGTGGCCAGTTTCGTCTTCGAGACTTGCCAGATTTTGCAGATGCGTGCCTTTGGAAGGCTACAGAGCTAAGCTGGAAATCCCTCAAAGACGGTCTTGCAAGGCAGAGGAAATAAAGACCTACCAGGCTCTCAACTGAAATTTCTAAAGATCCTGCCCTAAACGCGGGTGAACCAGAGGTAGACTGGTCTTACCAGAATGAAACCTAGCCCTCAGCCAGCTCTGTCCCCGAATGAAGTCGCGATTCCCCGCCTACCCGACTTGCCCAGCAAGGGAAAGGGAAAACGTCCTCTGGGAGATGCTAACATGTGGAGCCTTAACAATCCTTCCGTACCCATTTTCTACACACCGTAAAGAAATTACTTGGGAAATAAAACTCATTGGAAATTACGGGGGGGAGGAGGGGATGAGTAAATTCACACCTAACAGGTACGATGCACACTATCTGGGGGATGGGCACACTTACAACTTTGACTCAAGTGTACAAAAACAATTTATGTAACCAAAACATTTGCACCCCCATAATACTTTGAAATAAATTAAAAATTTCTACACATGCAGAAAGCAAGACCGTATGCCTAGAGTCAAGAGGGGAAAAAACCTAGATAATGGAAATAGATCCAAAGATGATCCAGATGTTAGAGTTAGCATCAAGGATTTTAAAATAACCATGATTAATGTATTTAAGGAAATAGAGGGGAACATGGACAAAACAGATGAAAGAGATATATCCAGAGATTTAGAATTTTTTTTTTTTGAAAAAGAATCAGATGGACATTGTAGAATCAAAAAATACGATGTCTGAAATTAAGATCTCAGTGGATAGGTTTAACAGTAGATCAGATACAGAAATAGGCAGGATTAGTGAACTGGAAGGCAGGTCAATAGAAAATATCCAAATTGAAGCTGAGAGAAGCAAAAATAGGGGGGGAAATAATTGAGCATAAAAACATCGAATATTCAAAAGGTCTCGCGTGGTATAATTGGAGTCCCAGGAGAGGCAAGGAGAGAGGGTGAAGCAGAAACAACATTCATGGAGAGAATGGTTAAGAATTTTCTGAAAACTGGAGATGAGTCCACAGATCTGAGAAGCTGAATGAACCTCCAACTGTGATAAATAGGTTTAGCTCTTGAAATCAGTTAATCATTGCTTCCTGAGTAATATATACATTATAATCTTTTTAACTATTTATTATTTTTGTGATCTGAACAAGTCACTTGACCTTCTTGAGCCTCAGTTTCCCTATCTATAAAAATGGGGATTCGATAAAAGACTGTATGAAAAAGTGCCTTGGGAGCTATTAAGTTTGAAAGAAATGCCAGGGCACATCACCGCGATTGTTCCAGTTTCACTGACTCTCGGACGACCTGTTGGGTCAGTCTCTATCCACTGCCTTTCAAGGGGATTTGGGAAATGGGGCTGGCCGACCCAGGGCACAGGTCTGCAGGGGGGCAGCAGCAAGATTTAAAATGATCCAGTTTCTGGATGGGTGTGGTCATTGCTTTGCCCTCCCAGGATCCTAGTAATTGAGAGATGACCAGGGATGGCTTTCTGGGATCATGGGATCCAGCCCCCAGCCACAAGCCTTTCCCAGGTCTGCCTTGGTTCCCCCTTAGCAGCCCTGCCCGGAGCTCTGAGGTCCTGGAAGCATTCCCCTCTTCTCTCCTGTGGGGTAGAGCTGTGTTTTCCACACCACACTCTCCTGCCTCCGTTTCTTGATAGTGTCCAGTGATAGCAGGTGATCTCTTTACTGTGTTGATTCAGTTTTCCGGCTGGAAATTATTTTATAAATTGTCCTAACTCACATGGGCATTGATGTTACAGAAAAGCTATCACAGAGAAAGGAAAAGCCTCCCGGACTGCGGTGGATGTATGTCAGCACTTTGTGGGTGCAGGAGAGGAGAGGTGCTAAGACTGTGGTCTTCATCATGTTTGGCATGAGAACCCGCATGATACAGAAGTTCCCGGTGCACGTTTTGGAGTCAGACTAGTGGGTTTTATCTATAGGCTCCGCTACTTTCCAGCTTTGCTATAACACCTTGAGCAAGTTACTCTTACCTTTCCTGAACCGCAGTTTCTTCCCTGAAATGAAGGGAATAGTCATATCTCCTAGGCTTATTGTGAGGTTTAAGTGAGCTAATATAGGTAAGGCACCCAAGTGTTCAGTAAATAGTAGTTGCTGCTATTAATACTCTAAAAATTATTTTACCAACTAAACTGAGGTTTATTCTTGAACTAATGCCTCATTAGCAAATTCAGTAGACCGATAGATATATTAATGACATCTCTGTTATTAGTGACAGCTATAACTTACTGTCTAGATCTCGTTATTAAACTAAGGGTCTGTATCCGGAAGATCTGTCTTTAGCAAAAAGTTGCCTGAAGTTTCTACCAAGGAAAGCAAGGCCTATGCCATTCTAAGACAATTCCTCTTCCCTGTTCTATCAGTTAAAAGGAAAGTGTTCTGAGCTGTTGAGAATAAACATAGTTTTAATACGTAATATTGCTGGTAGATTCATCCTTTAGAATATTTGCTGAGATTATTGCTGTTTCCTGCTCAGATTACCTGATGAAGAAGCAACCTGTGATTTTTGCCACCCCTGCCCTTAAGTAAACATCCAAGAATGCTTTATTTCCAAGGGTATTTTTCCTGAGTGTTTCTTGGAGTCATAGGGCTTCCAGTGCTTTCTGCCCACGTAAGCCTTGGGTTGATATTCTGTGACTCATATCAATTGTTCCAACGATGATTTACTTGTCTCTGCCTTCTTCCTGACTACCTGCAACTTGAAGACCAGGAATATTGACTCATTCCATCTTTGTATCTTTGGTTAACAGAATGTCTGGCATATAGTAAATGCTCAACAAATGTTCGTTGAATGAATAAATGTTCCATGAGGCGGATATCATCCGTTTACCCCTCCAGATCCATTCTCTACCCTTCTTCACCCTGTTCTGGTCCCTGAGAGGCTGACCTGCAGATGACATTGGTGGGCTCCCAGGTGCTCTGGCTTCTGGTTGGGTTTGGCCAACTGCAAATGGAGATCAGACGGGGAGAGGAGAGGGATTTGATCTCCTGGCTCCCCCTCCTGCGAGGTCGCCCCGTGCTGGCTATGTGCATCTCTTTTCAAGGCAGCTGCTCTATATGCTCCCACCCCCAGGCTCTATAGCCTCTCCATCCCTCATCCTTTTGGGCCAAGGAGTGGTGACAGGTAGCACCAGGTTCCTGCACCACCCCTTATAGTTTCCTTGTGCCCTGCTCACACGTGTGTAATTAGTCTCTATGTCAGTTAACCCTCTACAAATTACCCTAACTGGCGTGTACCTGCTCCATACTGCTGGGAAGCAGCAGGCCCCAGTTGCTTATGAAGATTTTAAATGGTTTGAGCCGGGTACTGGGGCTCTAGGTTATTAAAAAAACAACATAGTGCAGTTCTTGCACGAATGGGGGACATGGCAGCTTTGGGGAGATAAATAGCCATTCTAGAAACTATTCTCTGGGAGAGACTTTCTCCCACAGATAGTGTGTAAGACCCTATTTTAACCGACTGTCTAAGTCCCTGAAATTGCCCCTGTGTGGCTGTGTCTCTGACTCGGCGTGGGACGTGCCGGAAGAACGCTCAGGACGGGACACTGCGGGGCAGAGGACGTGTGCCGTAAGCGCCGAGCTTTGACAACAGAAGACTTTTTAAGCAGTGACTTTGGTGTCTAATTCAATGTTTACATTTCCGCATTTTGGGCTGTTTTCCTGCAGGTGATCATAAACAGCACAATCACACCGAATATGACTTTCACCAAGACGTCGCAGAAGTTCGGGCAGTGGGCCGACAGCAGAGCCAACACGGTGTTTGGTTTGGGGTTTTCCTCTGAGCAGCAGCTGACAAAGGTAACGTCCTTCCCACGGCGCAGTCAGTGCCACGTCGGACGCTGTTCTCATTCAGTGGTTGCCCCTGAGGGAGGGTGCTCTTGGTGAGCAGGAGTCCTTCCTGGTCTTCGATCTCACCCCTCCTGGCACCGCAGGGCTGCCAGAGCACGTGCCCTTTTCAGAATCCCAGACTCTTGGGGAGTTGACAGTCGCCAGGGCAGACTCGGCTGCTTGGGTTCCCGGTGTATACTGAGGACGACTTTCAAAGAAGAGAAGTTAGGGCGAGTCAGGCAGGAGGCCATCTCAACAGGGGCCTGCTAAGTTTCCTTGAAGACTGAGGGAAGGGAAATTCACATCTAACAGATGCTGCTT